TTTTTAATGTAACATGTGTTTTAAAGGAGATTGGACAGACATATACTTCATGAGTGGACAATGATACTCCTGGAAGATATGGGTTATTAAATGAAAATCTCTGTGTCAAGCATGATACCTTCTGAGAAGTTACTGGTCTTGGAGTCCCCAGAGGCACCCAAAACAACACAGGCTTTTGACATTGATCTTGATTCCCACCATAAATAAATAGACTGTATTACTGAAGACACCACTCATTTTGGATACAGGACACAGAGAAATAAACCTCATGTGACCAGGAAACCATGTTTTTGTTGGTTAGCTTACACAGTGCTGTAAGATGCTAGGAATGCTTCTTGGGCAGAAAACACATCAGTGGTCTCACCCAGCCCTGCGCTGTGCATGCTACAATACCAGCCTGCCTGGAAAGATGTGCCCAATGGTACATTAGTGGCATGGCTGTCATGGGGTTAACCAACCACTTTCTGATTGGATACAAAGCATGCTGCACAGGTGGGTTGCATGCCTGGTACTATAAACCTGGTCCAATTCTCATGATTGGGGAGATTGTGGGGGAACTTTCTGTTGTTATGTTAAATGTTCGTGATGTCAAACTGTCTTCTAAATAAATATGGGTTACGTTTATATCCATAGATTTGTGCTGTTCTCAACTTTGGTCAGAGAAACTTCTTTTTGTAGTGGGTAGTGGTTAATGCAGAGTCTCATTACTGGTCAAAGTACCAAGCACAAGCAACTGTGAGTGCTAAGCTGTAATGAATCATCTATGTTAACCCTTCCTAACCCCCACCCCCATGCATGCCCCATTAGCATCAGGAAACACTGAAGAAAAATGGTGGAAAATGTGAGAGCTGACAGATGAGAGATGTGAAATACTGACTTCTGGACATGACATAGTTTTCATGCACATCAACATATAGTAGCTGTAGTTGACTACACAAGACCTACACAAGATCAAGCCAGTCAAAATTCCAGCATGAATGGGAAAGGACTCCCAGCTCCAAGCTTGACAGGGAACTCTTCACAGTTGAAAACTGCTGAGGAAGAGAGAGTCACTCTTCTTTGGGGTTATGACTGCTGGTAGGTTTTCCATACCCAGGGGTTTGGGCCACATTTGCACATGTAAACAGTATTGACTAGCTAGACTCAAGAAGTTAGTAACAACAGTAACAACAAAAAGAAGACATCAAGTTTGGATGGAGACAGGGTGAGTTGCATTAGGGAGAGTTGGAGGAAGGTACTGTTGATGGATTGATGTGATAAAAAAATGTTATGTGCATGTATGAAAATTTCCAAGAGTAAATAAAAAGTTTAAAAATTAAAAATAAAAATTACATGGTACCCCTCATATACACATACATTGTGAACATATCAGGTAGGCAGAGCAGGGACATCTCTACTGTAGGTCTCAGATGACTTTGTGTTGGTGGTCTGTTAATGCATTCTGAGCCTATTAGTTGTCTAAAATCATGTAGCAGAGCAGATTAAAAAGAATTAAAGGGAGAAAACAAACAAGGAAAAAAACCTAAATAAATAAACCCATAAAAACTGGAGATTGCCTAGTCAAGAAATGATTGTTTTGCAAAATGAGGACTTGAGTTTATCCCCAGAACCCACTTAACAAAGCTGAGCATTGGTGATGCATGCTTGTAATTGCAGCACTGGGGAGGTGGAGACAGCGCCATCCCTAGGGTTTGCTGCCCAGCCATTGTAGCTGAATCAGTGGGTCCCAGGCCCACAAGTAACCTTTTCTCTTAAACAAGGGAGAAAGTCACACACACACACACACACACACACACACACACACACACACACACACACACACACACACACACACGGTCTATATAAAGAGCCATACTTTTCCAGAAGATGACCTTCCCTTAATGAGCCTCAAGAAAGCCCTGCTTTCTCCACCTTCCTCCTCCTTGTCTAATCTACAACTGTACTTTCACACAATGTTTTAATCATAGGGAGGAGCAATTGTAACCATCTTTCCCTTCCTTTGCTCATTACTCCAAATTCTGAGAAGGGGCTATTGGAGTTTCACCCTCGTTTGCTAGTTATCCCTGTAATTTTGTTTTGCCCCCATTTATTACTTATCATTATTTTCTCTTGCTAAATTCGTGTGCTACCAGAGATGTGACAGGTGGGACTTGAAGCTGATTAAGAGGCGGTGGTGTGGGATGGGGTGGTTTCCGTACTTATTGACCCATCTAGTTCTGACCCACCTGTTAATTTTAAAACAGAACTGGCCTATGAGTTTATAGGGCAAGCCCTAGGCTCACAAAGAAGACTAAGAATGTCCATGTCAAGCAAACAGCTACCTTATAACACCGGACTCGTGTGGCTCCTGGGAGATGTGGCAGGCTTTGTTCCTGCCAGAGGCTCCAAGAGTCTCAGTAACTGTCTAGCAGGACCTGGAATGGTCTCGTCCCCACCTCACCCCACCCCCATGCTGTGGACAAAACCTGAGACCTTGGGCTTGCTGGGCAAACACGCTGTCACTGAGCTGTAGCCCCAGCCCCAGAGTAGTCGTTTGACTAGGAGCCCAGAGTTTATAGCTGGAAACCAGTGACTACTACTTGTCCCCTAAATGTAATTCTGGGTTTTTACTTTAAAAAGCAAAGCAAAATAAAACAAAGATAAAAAAAAAAACCAAAAACCTCAGGAATCTCTCTGTGTTGCTATGGTTTGGCAACCTTCAAAATTAAAGAATTGAATAGAAATTTAATTTGCATTAGGAGGCAGAGAGTAAGTTGGAGAGGGAGGTCTAGGGAAACCTTGGGCAAAGGCTCAAAATTAGCATTCGAAAGGAACTGGTTGGCAGAGAGAAAGGTTGGCTACTTCCCCAAGGGCCACTAAATCTGGCTACCCACACAGGCAAAGAAGCTCTCCACGAAATCAGAAGGTGACCTCGCTGAGTATAACACTAAAATGTACAGTCTGGGCTAAAGAGTTAGGATTCCAAGGAGACACGTGGTACAAGCTGTTGTATGTAGAACTGCATGTCACAGAACGTGTGTGAAACTTGTACTATGCAAATGAGCCCCAAAGCCTGCATTACATGTGACTCCTGAACCTCCCCCAGCTCTTTGCAGATCCTTTGTACAGATTGCTGTTCAGCTAAACTTTTCTTTGCTTTAACCTGTTTCCTTCTTCTGTCCCTTAAGTCACTGTCCTTGCTTCTTCTATCATCCATTTGTCCTTGTTCAATTTCTTGTTCTGGGGCACAGGAACCTAGAATCATTCTTGGGGAGTGTCCATGGAACCCCAGTACCTTCAGATTTCAATTGTGAGATATTTTTTGATGTGTGTGTTCATACGTGTGTGGGCACATGTATGTGTGCATGTGCAGATGTCAACCTCAGATGTCATTCCTTGGGCACCATCCATCTTTGTGTGTATGTGTGAGCTAGGGTCTCTGCCTTAGTAATTTCTCTGCTGCCGTGATAAAATACACTAATAAAAGCAACTTGTGGAAAGGTTTATTTTAGTCACTAGTTCTAGGTACAGTTTATCATGGCAGGGCAGTGAAGCCAGGAGGAACTTGAGGCAACTGGTCCTGTTGCATTCACAATTAGAAAGCAGAGATCTGTGAACGTATGTGGTTCCAGCTCTCCTCTTTATATACTCCAGGCTCCCTGTCTAGGGAATGATGCCACCCACAGTGGGGATCTTCCCACTGCATTTAACATCATAGAGGCCAGTTTCCCAGTGGCTCTAGATCTCATCAAGCAGACAACTGAGATTAATCATCACAATCAGTCCTGGACCAACTAAATTAAGCCAATTAGACTAATCAGTGCGTTCTAGGGATCTGCAGCTCTCTGCCTCCCCAGCACTAGGACTGCAAGTGTACATTCTTGGTTTTTTTAATGTGGGTTCTGAGGATTGAACTCATGCCACTGTAGTTTAACAGCCGAGATATCGTCATAGGCTCCAATGTTGCAATATTAAGAAGTGCGAGCAGGTGAGACCTTCAGGAAGAAATTAGGTGACATGGCCTCTTGAATACATTAACCTATTCATAAATAGTGACTCAAAGGGCTGTCTTATTTCTCAATTTAATTTATTCTCTGGGTGATGTATATCTGTGTGGGTGATGTTGAGCATCCTCTCTATCACTTTCTACCTTATTACCCCGAGACAGAATTTCTCAGGAAACTGAAGCTCCCCTGTTGGGATAGTCTTGCTAGCAAGTGGGCTCTTGGGATCAGCCTATCTAGGTTGACTAGTGCTGGAGTTCCCGGCATGTGTGGTCATGTCCACGTTCTGTGTGATGGTAGGGATCTGAACTAGGTCTCCGTGTTTGCATAGTTTGACTTTGCCTCTTGTTTGGGCCTTTCTCGCTATGTAGGTCCCTCATTACCTAGGGTCTTTCATGGAGTCCCCACCAATAAGAAAGGTTTCACCATGCTGTCTCTTGACCTGAGACTTCCAAGCCTCCAGAGCTATACAGAGAATAAACCTTTGTCCTTCATCAATTTTCCAGTCTTGTGTATTCTCTTATAGTAACAGAAGGTAAGTTGAGAAATATCTCATATGTTATTCCTTAGAAAGCACTTGGTTCTCTCACTTGTGGCTAATTGAAATAAGGCCATTTGGAGTGAAGAAATGGCTAAACTTGACGTAAAAATTGATTTGACACATTCTCTATTGAATGTTGTATTGGACATTCATAAGTTACAAAAGTAAGACATAGTCTGGAATGAACACCTAATCTAAGGAGTAGAAAAGAGAAGAAAAGCCAACATACCCACATAAAATTTTATTGTGATATAGATCCCCACTGTTATTATATTACACATATTTAAAAAATCATATAAAATCTTTTAAAATCTATTTAAAAATGAATGAATGGATGGATGAATAAATAAAGTAATAAATGGATTTGGTCTAGTTCTTAAACACTGGTGAGATTCTGTCAGGTGGAAATTGTCCTCAGAGGCAGGAGGCAATCAGTGGATGAAAAATGACAGAAGTTGTTTCATTTTTTTTTTCAGATTGTGAAAACAGGATTGAAAACGCAACACAATAAGTGTATTATTGATGGAGTCTAGTTTGCTGGTCGTTTTTTATCCGCCCCCTGCCCCCCAATGAAAATGAAACTGAGAGAATGTGGATCTAGGGAAGAGGGAAGGTGGGAGGGGCTAGGAGGAGTGAAGGGAGGGGAAATTGTAGTCAGGATGTACTGTACAAGGGAAGACCATATTTTTCAATTGCAAAGAAAAGAAAAGAAAATAAAGGAAAATAAAACACAACTTATAATGTAACTCCTAAACCGGTGGGCTGACTATACAGTAAATCATGTTAAAATTTTCACTGAATATCACTCTTAGTGTCTACACTGTTCCTGTTTAGTCCGAAAACAAATACATTGTTTTTAGGTGTTGGAAGCTCTGCTGTGCTAATTATGTGCTGATATCTGAATATCCCCCATTACTGGAATTTAGATTATTCTATGAGCCAAATAACAATGTCACCTAAACTTTTATTATGTGCTGATGTTTTGTCTGGTAGAGAAAATGTGCCTAAGACCCCATAATTTTGGAATGAAACTAGATGTAGCAAAGTGCTCTAGGGGAGACCAGATAGTGCTTATGATAAACTGTAATGGCTTTTTAGAAGAGCAGAGAGTGAAGAAAATCAGGGGTAATTGAGGTAAAAAAAATTTAAGCAGCACTTTACGGCAGGTAGGAATGACTTAGGTTTCATATTTTTTTCCTGAAATTAGACAAAATAGTGGCAAAATGGGAAAACAAACAGCTACATATCTGTAAGAACAATTTTTCTTGTAGTCTATGTTCAGAGAGTTTGTACACCAAACATTCCATATGTTCCTGCAGCATAATGGGTCATAAGGTACGTGAGGCAAAGAAATGGGCTGCTCATAGACAATATGGCTGGGAAGTCACTCCGTGGGAAGGGGAAGATGAGAGAAGATTAATAGGCGAAGAGGGGGAGAAGGCACGGATGCTGGGGCTGCTGTGGAGTTTGAACACCTGGTAAGCCCAGGCGTTACCCAAGCCTGGTTTAAGCACAAAGAAGTTACTTACAGCTGTTACGAGGGCGGTCGTCTAACTCATCTTCTGCTGCTGTAATTGGATACCTGCATCCACTCACACTTGCTCAGCATCCGGCGAGGGCTGTCTTGATGTGTTTTGCCACAGTGGAGGGTACCACATGATTGAAACAGTCAAGAGGCTAGCCCCAGTCTCTTCCCTTTCATGCAGATTCACCGACAACATTAAGGACCTCCCACCCTCAGAGTCTCCTCTATTTAAATCCCGCAGGTATGTAACACATTTTATGCAAGGAACTTGGTATCTTGCTTCGGCTATCTTACAACTGTAGGAAGATGTACAGTGTTTGGAGTGTTTACTCTCTATGTTCCTGTTGTGTGACAGACTTTCCTCAGGTAGATGCAATACACACACACACACACACACACACACACACACACACACACACACACACACTCCTAGTATAGGAACTTTAGGGGACGCATTCAAGCTATAAGAATAGATGATACCAGTTCTGAGATTGTAGGGGCTCAACAGAGCTGAGTGGTAACGGAATGGCAGATGAGGAAGTCACCAGCACCTGTACAGATGAGGCAATGCATCCTGAGTTCCAAAAGAGGCGTGCCCAGGAAACTTCTGCCGGAGTGAGCTGTTCTTCAGCCCCAGCTGCTGTCACGGAGCTGGCAGTGGTAGCCTCTTGTGCTCGATTCCTGGACTGTCAGGACTCTGGGGACACTGCTTGGAACCTTTGGCTAAGAGAAATGACAGGACTTTTCTTTTTTTAAATACGGGTTTGTTATGACAGACCCGCACAGCTGTTTTCTGAATCAAAGATCAGTTTGTTAGATTATTCTTTACGACCTGTGTCAGGGTGATTGCTTCTGGAAAACATCTGTTCTATAATTAGAAAATGAAGATTTTTGTCACTCCAGTGGAGCGTAATTAACTTTCAGACACCAGAGGGAGAATTTTAGGATCACCATGAGAATTCAGTGGGGTTATTCACAGGGGTGGTTTTTTTTTTCCTTTTAATTTCTTCTAAAGTAACTGGGAGAGTAAAGGAGATAATCCATACTTATTTGCATCTTATAAGACATAATAGAAGGAATCAAAACCCTGAAAGCTGTATGGACTTATTGCTACAACTAATTTCACTGAGTACAACCTAGCCAGTTCAAAGCAATTCCATTCTGAAAAGGCACCAGGAGGGTTCCAGAGTACTGAAGGCCTTTTTTGGCAAGTGAGTCAGCCTCCTCACTTCCCCAGCTTTTTGTGGCCTGGTAGCTCTTTGTAGTTGATGACAACACAGCTTGTCTTCATCTGCATGTTCACACTGTTATCTTCCCTTGGTGATGTCAGTATCTAAATCTTCCTGTCCTTATAGCCATCATAGTAGGCCTTCTGCAACTCAGGATGACCCCGTGTCAAGTTTTTATCTGCAAAGGCCTTACTTCTAAATTGAGCTACATTCATAGGCACTGAAGCTCAAATACTCCACAGGGAGTTCAGCGTCTACTGCTGAATGCATTCTTCATCCAAGGACCCAAGGACCCCTCATCAGTGACTGCTACTGCTGTCACCCTAACAGTCCAAGTCTTAAGTCCAGGAGCCTTGATTAACTCTTTCGTTGTTTCCCATATCTAAGCCAATGTCAAGTTCTGCAAATCGACCTACATGTCTGCTTAAGCATCCATCCCAAGGTCCACTGCCAAGGTCATACCATCTCTCTTCCAGATGTCTGTATATGTCTCACATTTGGTTCTGATCTTCACTTTGTATTGAGGAATATTAGCCTACACAAGATAGGAGTGTCATATGATATTAATTTATGGAGAAGTCACTTACATGAGAAGCCGAAAACCCAAGGTCAGCGATCGCTGCTCCCTGAGACCTGATTGGAACCCCAAGAGAGAGCGCGTCTCTTTTCCCTCAGCTCTTTATCCCCCGTACCTTATACATACCTGTGACCATGCCCAAATGGGTGTGGTCAGTGCTACAGGTACCTTAGATCTCTCCCTGCAATTCTCCTTTTAGTCTAAAGAAAAGGTTTAGTCTTGAAACAAAACTAAATTGTGTCAATATACAAAATGTCTCAAACATTTATAAAGCATATATACACAGAAGATGATAAGGATATTTATGCATCAAACATCATGAATAGAAAGAAGACTTTACACAGTATGATGAATTGTGATAAATTATTAATTACCGGAAGATATACTAATCTACTTATATACTGTCCTAAGCATGTCTATCCCATCCAGATCCTAAACGTATCTGAAAGAGATGCCCAAGTCTCAACACCTCCTTCCAATCCCAACCCTGTGTCTGTGAGTGCAGAACCAGTCCCGCAAGCCAGAGGGTGAGAACTCCTGCTGCAGCTCTCAGACTCTCATTCCTACTGAGATTCTAGACACCATCCCCACTGAAGACCATGATGCTGAATCCAGTGTGTGGCAGGTGAACCCTGAAGAGTATATCCTGTTCTCTTCCACATTAGACAAAGGGACCTTTGAGTTTGCTCCTTGCTTCCTGAATCATCTGGCAATGGAATATGCTGGAGTATGCCAGGCTCTTATTTCATCCTGGAGCAATCACTAATTTTACTGCCCATAATAATCCCTTTTGGGGTCAACAGGCCTCTATCTTAGAAGACATAGGTCCTGGACTCTGAAGCACATGATCTGAACTTTCAGCTCTGCCTTCTGGGTAAAGAAGATCTCGGACCTCAACATGGAAGTAGAGGCATGAGTAAATACAGGTGTATCTTACTTCATATAGCTAATTCATTCAGTCAAGTAGGGGCTGGAGAGATGGTTCAGCAGTAAAGAACATGTACTGGTTTTGAGGACCCAAGTTTGGTTCCCAGTCCCCATGTCAGGCAGCCCTCGCCACCTATAACTCTAGCTTTGGGGAATTCAATGCTCCCTGCTGGCCTTTGCAGGCACATACACCTATGTGCAAACACCAATACACAAACATATCTACAAGCAATTAAAAATAAAATCTCTCAGAGAGGAGAGAAGGATGAGAGATACTACAATAGAGGGAGCCATTACAAGTTGGAGGAGAGATCTGGCACTAGTGAGATCTTCACAGATCTACCAAAATGACACCAACTGGCATTAAGGCTACCTTAAATGCCCTCCCCTGATAACGAGATTGATGACTAACTTATATGCCATCCTAGAACTCTCATCCAGTGGCTGACAAAAGCAGAGGCAGACACCCACAGCTAAAAACAGAACTGAACTCCTGGAACCCAGTTGCAAAGAGGACTGATGAGCAAAGGAATCAAGACCAGGCTGGCAAAACCCACAGAGGCAGCTGACCTAAACAAGGGGGAATGCATGGGCCCCATACTGATGACTGAGAAACCAGCATGGGACTAATCCAGACACCCCCACCCCCAACCTGGGTGTCAGAGAAGAGGCCTCGGCACTCTGTGGGACCTTGGAGAGTAGATCAGTATTTATTCCTGGCATACAAATGGACTCTGGGATTCCATTCCACATGGAGGGATTCTCTCTCAGCCTGGACACATGGTGGAGGACCTAGGCCCTGCCTGGGATTATATCACAGACTCTGAAAATCCCTCATGGAAGACCTTACTCTCCCTGGGGAGCTGAAGGGAGATGGAGTGGGATGGGGGTTGGGAGGAACTGGGGGCCGGGGGAGGAGGGGAGAGAAAAGGAACTGAGAGTAATGTGTAAAAAGTTAAATAAAATATAAAAAATAAAATCTCTCAAAACACAGTCATTACATGTATGTTCTATAGCTTACACTACTATAAGGACAGCACCCTTTGCAGGCTCATACACCTATGTGCAAACACCAATACACAAACACATCCACACACAACTAAAAATAAAATCTCTCAAAACACAGTGTTCTATAGCTTGCACTTTTATAAGGACAGCAATAATAAATACAACTATCTCCTGGAGAGGGGAAGTGGTCCTGTACAATCCAACAGGTCTATAAAACATCATGTGGGTATAGAGCCTTATAAAAGATAAATCGGGGGAGGGATGGAATAATGGGGCATTGCTCCCAATGTGGCATTCAGGGAACCTTTCTGAACAGGTGACATTTGAGAAGACACCTGAAGGAAGTAAGAGAGGGAGCCCTGCTTCTATTCCAAGAAGAGGAGGGCAACCAGTACAAAGGCCTGAGGCAGGGAGAAAGTTCAGGTTGTGCCAGGGCAGTTGGAGCATTCAGAAAGGGAGAGGAAAAGGCAGAGGAGTAGATGCACCGTCAATCAA